AAAGTTTAGCTGGCTGTATAGTACAGTTGTTGTTTTTATCACTGAGTTAGAAAAGTTTAGCTGGATGTATAGTACAGTTGTTGTTTTTTATCTGTGGGTTAGAAAATTTTACCTGGCTGCATAATACAGTTGTAGTTTTTATCTGTGAGTTAAAAAAGTTTAGCTGGCTGTATAGTACAAGTTGTATAGTAAATATTCTACACACCAACTATGAAAACTGTGATTGGGAAAAAAACAAGAAAATATTGCTAAATGCATTAAACTGGAATATCAAAAAAAGGAAGTTTCTTGCTCTACTGTTAAAAAATTGGAGAACAAATAAACTTTTCATAGTTCATTTTAATCACTGTTGTATTTTATTTGATTTTTTTAAATACTGCTACATTAGAAGTTTACTTTCATCTCAACAAGGCAACCATCATAAGTCTAATCACAACTTTTGTTCATTTTCTTTACAGTACTTTTAATTTTTACAGAACATTACACTGACATTGGATCCAACTCAAGTGCGTGATGTAACACTGAAAAACTAAGGATTTTACTGCTACAAAATTTATACAGTACAATTCTCATACAATCTTTTTCATACACTTTAGCTTCAGCATAGCTTGTATAAAAATAAAATAGCTCACTAGACAAGTCTGCTCATACATTGTTTAGTCTGTAATTGTGAAATTTCATAACTATATGAACATTGAAAATATCATTTTCATCAACAAGTAACTGTGAAGTACCTGACCTTCAACTATTTTTGTTAGTTTAAAATAAAACGGTATGTATAAAAATGTTTCAATAGTGAAAGTTAAACTTTTATTCAATAACAAAATACCAGCAGGTGAATCTTCACAAAAGTAATGGTAGCAAAGGAATATATTCTGAAACATATTTGTAAATGATTTATGTAAAATTTTAATTACGTTTGTTTGTTGTGGTTCACACCGTAACAGTTTTGTTCACGAAAATTGATTATACTTATATATACATTCACACACACACACATGAAATACACTCGTTGTAGCATGTCACAAATTATCCATGGGGTTATTTCATTCTGATATATAGTGCTTAGGCCACTACTGTGTCTCTTCTACCCTAGCTAGCCTGATGAGCCCTGGTATTCAAACATGATGACAATAAAAAATCAAAAACTCCAAAAAAATTGTTGATGGAAAAGACCAAGGGGAAAAATCATTAAGCCAGGGGTCTGGGTCTCCAGAAGCTAAAGAACCTTAAACTCTTTTTGGTGCATTCTCAGATTTTCCTGGCTCTAATTCTTATGTTTTTAGGAGGCAATTATTATTCATGTTAACATTATTTTTCCTTAAATTTAATTTAATAATATTCAATGTAAAATATATGGTCACCAAATTTTCAGTGAACAATTTATTTGTGATTATGTATAATACATACTAATATTTATGTTATTGTACAAGGTCATAAACAGCACAGTAATAAGTATGATCTACATTTACTACAGAAAAATTTTGCTTTAGTAAGGCATAAAGTTATAAAATCTATTGTTCTGTTTAGATACTTTGTTTTAATATAAAGTCTCTTTCATATGCAGGGACTGAAACAAACACGTTACATTTTATTTTGAAGTCTATGGTGAACTTGTGTGTGATAAACTATTTTAGTCCTGTAGCTGAATGTTTATAGCTGATATTGTTGTACCTCCATCTGAAATAATTCTCACTCATTTTAAGTTAGCTGAACTGAAAAGTAAAGCTGGAAGGGCTTTTAATTCTTTACAACAGACACCATTCTTTCACTAAAGGGCCAATGACAGATAGTGCCTGCAGAAGAGGATTATCTAGAAGTTTTTTTTTGTAAGTAATGTCCATATGCAGCATGATCATGTTTTTAGATATTTGGTAATAACAGTCATCATTACAACTATCTTCAGTGGAGGTAGAACAGCTGAATGAAAATGCAATATTAGCAGTACTATTTTCACCTAGAATATAATACTATTATTTTTCTCTTCTTTCCATCTTCAATAAGCTTTTTCTTTACATACAGGAAAATGCTTATGTTTTTTTGCTTTTCCTTGCTTCTTTGCTCATATCTAGTGATAGCATTGATAGCACATAGTCAAATTTATCACTTACATTAAAAAAAACTAAAGCACCGCACTAGTCTTAATTTATAGTCATTTCAGTCTATACACAATACTTTTCCAGCAACATTCACTTTCCATACAGACTCACCAGATGTACAAGTCACATTGCAATAATTTCCTCCACAGTTCAGTTTGACACTAATAGATTTTCCAACCATGTTCATTTGAACTTATTTTTAGTAGATTTCTCAGTATCTTTAAGACCAATAATATAACTTCTTTCCAAAGCTTTAGCCGTATTGTCAACTAACTTGCTTAAATGTGTTGATTGATTGGAAATATTCCACAGTTCAGGATGTTTTTGCACTTATCGGGATATTCAGAGACCAAATTTTCTTACCATATTTATACGTTTCTCAGAAATGACTGGGGGACCCATGAAACTACCTCTCTATCCACTGGCGAGAGTGCAGGGCTAAATATAATGAAAAATTCACCAGTGTTCTGGTTGCTCCTGTCAACCAGGTACTCAACCTTTCTTCTTTCTACCCTCACAGGTACATACCAAAGAAGAAATCAAGATAGTCTTGTATTCCATTATTTAGGTTCTAAATGCAATTATTGTGCCTGAGTATTGGGCACTGGATATGGTAGATGTAGTTTGGTTGATATAACATGTTCTTCTTTGCTTTCATTCATGGATTCTTAGAATATAAATTATATTAGTATTCTTACATTATTATATAAATGTTTTAATTTTTTTTAGTATTAAGCTATGTTTTTAGAGTAATATGAAATATAAAAATTAATAAGGTAGTTTTGTTAAAGGTGCATCTTTATGTCCATTTGTTGCATCAAGTTCACTATATTTTTATAACTTCAAGTATAATGTACTTGCCAAAATGAGAACATTAATTTTAGGCTTCAGCTTATAAACTCATTTATTCAGGGTCTGTGTTCATTATTGGCACTAAGATCTTATACCAGTTGGAATGGATGACATCATCATATTTGCCTAGGGAATGCTCAAGTATATCTGACTTATGGGTGACTTTAGGGTTGCATGTTCTTTCTCAAATCTTAGTAATTTTTTTCGGTGGAACATTGAGGACAAGTAAATCTGTAAACTACGAAGATGGTTGTAAGATTGAAATTTAAAGAAAAATGTAAGGTGACAATTAGGTTTAAATATACACTAGTTGTATGTGTGGGTATTTTGCAACTTTTATTCAGAGTATTTTCAATAAAAGTTAGTGCAGATACTATTTCACCATGCTTGCAGATTAATTTTATGGCTAAGCTATCAACCACATAAGCTACCGTTATGATACAAAGAAATAAATTTATGAAACCACCACCCATGTTATCCAACCAAAACTGGAAAAAAACAAAAAAACTTTGGCATATGAATTTCAAGCAGAAAGGCAATGTTGCCAAATGCTTACACCTCAGTCTGCTATAAAAAAGAAAACAGTATGAATCAGAGAAAAAACAACACAGTAAAATTTATCAAAAATAAAACTAACATGCTTATGTGATATCTAGCATGTATGAGAATTTACATAAAGAGCTTATGACTATTCAAGAATTGTGTAAAAATAATTTTCCAGGTTATATCATAAATAGAATACTTCATAATTATTTAAATAAGTGAAGTGTTAACATACCATGTATAAGTGATGTACCTAAATATTCTTTACTTATTAGTTTACCTAATATGGGTGAATATACTATGATTATTAAGAGCAGTTGAAAAATGTCATTTGTGGGGTATACCTGCAGGTACAACTAAGGTTCAAGTTTGTTTCCTTAGATGTTTCTTAAATTAAAGGAATAAATTCTGAATTTACAATCATTTGTTTATAGTTCATAAGTTTACTTAGTGAAAATTACAAACATGTGTGAAAGAACATGCTAATCTAAGATCACCATAAAGTCAAGTATACTTGAGTTTGCCTTAGGCAAATGTGATGTTATCATTCATTCTATTTTGTTTAAGGTCTTAGCTAGGGCTAATGATGAACAGTCTACAAATAAAATAATTTACTCATTTATAAGCTGAGGTGTAAAATTAATATTTTCAATTCAACAAGTACATTGTTGTACCAAGGTTAAAATGAATTCCTGTACTTATTAGACTTTTGACTAGTGAATGAATGTCATAAATGCTTGTTTGATAAACCATCAGTAATTTTCTTTCACATTTCAATTATGCACAGCTGTGATTTCAGATATCAAAACAAATACTTTCACAGGGCTTCAGGATCTTGTATGGCTGATATGACCATGGCTGTGCTACCTTTTTTCTATATATATATATACACACACACACACACACACACACACACACACACACACACACACACACACACACACACACTACTTACTTACTATTACTATACTACGTTACTTAACCTTTAAAAAACTAAAAACGT